GGATTCTTTTTTCGTACTTTTAATAAAATAGTTTTTCAAGTTTTACTTTGCAGGATTCTGGTAGAATGGAAGAAAGAGCACGTAGGTTTGCTGATGATGCCCGTATGGCAGCGGCGACAGCTGCAGCATCAGCACGTCCTATTCGAATGCGTCTTGTGAAAGGCACATGCCAGAGCATTGAGAAAAGCTTTTTTAGGTTGACAGCGGTTCGTACTTTTGCTCAAATAGAGCTGTTGTTTGCAAACAAATTTAGTTCTAACTCAATATCTAGTCTATATGTTTGTTAAACTACATTTCTATTCAGGCACCAGATCCTAGTCAGGTACGTCCACCAGAAATTCTAGAGAAATCTTTGGAGAATGTTAAAAATAAGTATCGAGAGGGATTATCGTATCAATATTTATCAGATCAGCTGCGATCCATCAGGTCAGCTATGTTTGAGATACAATTTCTGCATATCTCTTTGAAACTACTCACACACAATTACTTCTCAAATAAATTCAAGGTCTCATATTCTACTTGACTAGGATACTGCGCAAATGTTCTTTTATTTCAGACAGGACCTCACTGTACAACGGGTAAGGAATAGTTTCACGGTCCAAGTCTATGAAATCAACGCTAGAATTGCTCTGGAGAACAAGGACAGTCAGGAATTCAACAAAGTTTGTTTCCTTTTTACAATGTTCGGTTTTCATTGGTTCTAATCTCTGTTTCTAGTGTCAGAGTCAACTGAAACTTTTATACAGTGAGGTTTCCGATTGTCCTAATGAACCAGAGTTTGTGGCGTATCGCTTACTATATTACATAGCGATGGCAAATACGCTGGATATTTCGTCTTTGTTGAAGGGTTGGTACTTCGCTCGTACTTTTGCTTTTCAGTGTTTCAGAGTGGTTGATCGGAAAACACTGGAAAAACTGGCTCACTACATTTACAGTTCAGAGTAAATTCATTCAAGAATGTTGTTTGATTTCAGGTTTGCCGGACTCAATGCGGTCGGATGAATGTGTGTCTTTTGCCTTGAGAGTTCGTCGTGCTGTGTCCATGGGAAATTACCCTACTCTTTTTAGATTGTTCAAGGTTAGTAGGTTTTTATATTACGCACGAT